ACCGTCACTTTTTGGTACAGTAAAACGAGTAGGCTTTTTTTTTTTTAAAAAACATTGCCCTTACTTTAGGATAACATTATCCTGTGTTGTAGGGACGTTTTACAAACATAAATTTCACGCGGACAAACACCCAGATGCGAAATAACTACCTGTGGGTCACACAAATAGTTGTCCCGTGTGGGAATCGAACCCACGACCCCCGACGCCGAAGCCAATACCTTGGCAACTGTGCCACGGAGTCATCATTTAATTATATCGATATCGATCACAACTATTGTCCGCCACAAAACCAAAGAATCCAGCTTTGCGTTAGACAAAGGAAACAATGATTTCATCGGCTCAAAGACTTCAAACGCATAGCGCGGGGAAGTACGGCATCCGGTACCCTCCCGTGGGATTGTCATAAGTCGGGGAAGGCATAGGCCCGATCAAAGGCGACATTTAGATTTATCGGAGGGCCGTTACGTAAGCCAAACACGCGGAAGAATAGTGAGACACATATTTCCGACACTGTTCATACGGATAAGCGGGGAAAGAAAGAGATTTCTTTTCCTCATCACTGATCTGCCTACCATCCTAACAAATGATATGTGTTGAAGCCCTGATGGTTTTTTTTTCGGTCATATTATAGTGTTTTAATTGTTTCCTGGTGCGTGATGCCGTCGGCGACCTTAGTTTCCGTGACACTTAATTAAAAAAAAATTTCGGGACATTTTTTTACACAATGTTCTCTAGTTAATTACATTCTATAATTGCTTCGACGAAGTTTGTGACAAATGAAATTACAGCATCGACAGGGTAAAGTTTCACATGTGATACTTTTTGAACTATCTTTGATGATAGTTTTTGATACTGTTTGAAAGATTTATATGTGTAACATGTCATTAGGTTTGGATTAGTTGTGATAGTGATATCGGCTTAAATATTTCGCATTTTACGTTTATATAGGGAGATTTTTTTAAGAAGTGCCCAAATTTACACAGGAGTTTCAGACTCGGTAGTGTAATCGTTTATTGAAATAAAAACATTCTATTCCCTAAAAACAGAACGTATTGACAATGCGGTAGTTATTCATAAATACCTAAATTTTACTGTGCACGAACTTGTGTGCGTGTTAGTTATGAATTATCGCGCGTAAAATAAATGAGTTGCGTATAAATCACGCACTTTTTGAGATAAGTTCAAATGAATGTAATCAATTACTTACGAGTGATTTTAAATATTTATCATTTTTATATAACGTTATTTATGTTTAGAATTTAATTAAGAAAAATGGATATACTTAGAAAAGTCACCCTGTATAAAATGAGGTCAAGACTTCGTTAATCCTATTGCTTGGCTTTTAAATTGTTCGAAGTTATGTGATTATGAAGATAATCCTAGGTTATGTTATTCCTTTTAGTGTTTATAAGACATCTAGATGTCGTATAAACACCCAAATGACACTGACACTGATGACGAACGATCTAACGTCGTTTAGCACATAATACGTAAATCAGATCCGTACGTTAGGGTGCTGATCGCTGACGCGCCGGAAAAGGTGTTTGGTGGAACAATCAATAAACTCACCAAACAACTAGACCTGCCTTCCCCGCCCCGTTCCTTTAGAACGTGGGCGTACCGCAAGGGCCGTGTCTGTGCACGGAGCTCTTCTCGCACTGGTCCTTTCTGAGGTCGCAGCTCTCACACGTCAGTCGGTACAATCTGGTCAATAACATAAATTTCTTCGAGGCATGCCTCTTTATTGGATTTGGCGCCGAAGTGCCGTCGACCCTTTTTTCCCCAGCATATGGAGACTATTGTCCAATCGTTTGTTGGCTAGGAGTTTGAATTTTATTCTAAATCTATTTATATTAATATAAATGAAACTTAATACAAGTTTGTTCGTATGTTTATTTTAAGTTATCGCTGTTCTCTGGAACTGAACTCTGGAAACGTACCTTATGACACTGAAGGTTATGAACAATAAAAAGTATACTTTTACATCTCAATATTGAGATCAAGACAGCTGTAAAAATTGACAATATCCATCCGATAATTGTTGCTGTTCCTTATTGTATTAGACCTGTCGAAATAGTTAAAAATGTATTCGGTAAAGTGCTTTTATATGCTTTATAAAAGCATCGGACGTTATTTCAGTGTTATTCAAGACATTATTGGAAAAAGTTTTGATATTATCATATTTTTTATCAAACACATGAAACGATTGCCTCAATGAAACACTTCGAATTCGTTATTTAAAAAGCCTCTAAAAACAACTTGAGAAACTTACGTAATCATAATTTCTGTGTAAAGAACCGCGCATACTTACAATAACCGCGACAGCAAATCCTCGCCGGTTCCCTTCGCCGCGGGCTGAATTTGCGAGCTGCTTCGGCTGCGTAATTTGACAAATGGCATGAAACACTCTAACACGTGCCCGGGGAGCTAACGGCACGGCGCCCCGTCCGCGCTCAGGGCTTAGTCTAGACAAATTCTCTGTTACATGGAGCGTGGCATTTGTCTGCACATTCGTCCTGGTGTACTGCAGCGTACTAATGTGTGTTTAACACCGCGTCGTCTGCGTTTGAGACGGTATCTGATAAGCTTTATTTCTGTTCTGCGGTGTCATGTATTGGTAACATCGAAAGAAGACGGGAGAGTGTAACTTTGTTTCTGAATTAAATTCCCTTTGTAATGCTAATACAACTTTAGAAATAAACCATGCACTAAATACGACGAAGCGAAAGAAATTCATCTATTGTTAGAAGCTGCTCGATTTTTATTAGATGGCGAATCTTTTGTAGTAGTCATGTTTGTGATAATTTTTTTCTTGTGTGGATTAACTTTTGTGTGGATATTACTCACATTTGAAGTAAAACAACTAATTTAGAAGGATCTCTGACCGTGATTGTTTCTAAGTATTTGACATGACGCGAATTAAAATCTAAATATCGCTGAAATAAAATTCTTAAGGTATGTAAGATTTTTTGTAGCAGAATAAATTTTTTTAAGGAAGTATTAATATTTCTTTACTTTAGTATGAGAGGATATTTTTGTTATAGGAAGCTCGTTTTAGAAACATCGCAGTTGTGGCGTAATTTTCACAATATTTACATAGAAAACAGTCTGTTATTTGATGCGGTAATAAGAATAACCAAGGGTAGACGCTTCGACCGATAGCGGCGACGGTGATTCCGGGTAATACTTAATAATTAATATGCATGAAGCCTGTGCTCAACTGAAACTATAGCGAATATAAATAGAAATAGTTTAAAAGTGCAAAATTTTTACACAAAACCGGTGTCATTAATTTAATGATGTGTATGTATAATTTTAAAATGGAAGGTACTTCGAAGAACAACGGTGTTCAAAATCAAACTTCAATCTACTTTGCCATCTTGTAGACTAATTGTCAATAGATGGCATTATCATACATTATTTATAAGAGTTTTTTTTTTTTTTTTTTTTTAATGAAAACATACACCTTTTCTATTTGTACTTTTCTTGTCAGTTTTAGTAAAGTTTGCATATTATTTTGTTCAAACGCGAATCTTAGAGCTCGATGCCGGAATAGAATTTGAATATCCCATCTAGCAAGCCAAGGCTGAAAATATGCTTTCCGTCGGTCTGTGCTCCGCTAGACTGATTTTTAATTCATTGTCCAATTCAAATCACAATTGTTAAGTATTAAGCTCAAGGTGGCGCAAACGCGACGAGCGAAGCCGACGGCGGGGGCTAGTTAATCTTTCAAAGCGCCCCAGACGTGCATCATTGAATGAGCGCTTTGTGAATGTCGTACATTGTTCATCAAAAGCACGGGAGTACCTTTTAATAATTTATTAACGTTGTGGTGGCAATTGCTTTATGATTATTAGATTTAGTTTTGATGGTGTATATATATATATATAATTGGCAAGTGATAGTATGTTAGGGCATTTTTGTTCGTCGATATGGTTGTGAGGAAGCTTGCTTGTTTGTTTATTTAATCTTTATTGCCAACCTTCAGTAAAACAAGGTAACAAAGGGCGGACCTAATGCCCAAAGGCATTCTCTACCAGATGTGGTGGGATGTGGTGAGATGTGATGTGAGTTTATGGTAGGTGCAGCAAAAGATGCAAGAATAATAAAATTTTTGGGTTAGCTAAATACAAAAATGTGAAATATCAGTAGATAGAGGTATTTCACATAAGATTCACATAAGAAAATCCATACGCATAGAAGGTTTTTGTTTATATCTTCTTGTGTGCGTAAACTGAGTGCGATGATTTCACAATAAACATACTAAAGAGCAATAGAGGAACTGAATAAATCTGAAACGTTGGCTGGCATTATAGCTGACGAAGCTGTCGCCGCTTAGCGGTGCTCAATCAATGGTATCTTTCGAAATAAAAATAAAGTAACAGCTTATAATTAATTTCCCACTGCTGGGCTAAGGCCTCTGTCCACAGGGAATAGGGTATAGTCTACTATGCGGACCCACTGCTGTTTGGCAGACTTTACATACCTTCGAAATAATTTGTTTTGTTATTTTGAAATAAAAGAAAAGGAAAATCATTAGTTGCCTGTCTCGAACGAGAAATCGTACCCTCCAGGACAACACGATACCTTTTATCGGAACCGCTTTCCATCGGGTGGTCCTTTTTATAATAATTGCGAAGGTGTTCATAAGCGGCATAACTTAGCGGCGGTGATTTTTCATAAGCGTTTGCTTAATAAGCGGGCCCCGTGTGTTGTGATATTTAAAACCGACCAAGTGCGAGTCGGTTCGCGCACTAGGGGTGCCGTACCATTATCTATAAAAACGGCAAAAAACGTGTGTTGTATGGGAGCCCCGCTAAAATATTTTTTTTTGTGTTTGACGTTATATCGGCAACAGAAATACGTCCTCTGTGAAAGTTTCAACTGTCTAACCATCACGATTCATGAGATACAGCCCGGTGATAGACAGACAGACAGACAGCGAAGTCTTAGTAATAGGGTCCCGTTTTACCCTTTGGGTACGGAACCCTAAAAACGAAATGCGTCGGTGCCTCGAGGAGCTCCGGCGTTCCGCTCGACGCCAAGTTGCCTTAAAAGGAGCTCCGCCATTTTTCTCGAGGAGAAAGTTTCGTATGCACGCGAGTCCCATCCCCGGTCTTGGATATTTGCATTTCACTCGCGTCGATCACGCTCGGCTGACGCGTTTTTCCTCGAAACGGAGTACGTTCGCCCGGCGGGGACGGTGCATCGTTAGCTTTTTTATGTGAGGAGGTGGCAAGCGAGCTGGCGGTCCACCTGATGTTAAATGGTAACCGCTACCTCACCCACCAGACGAAACGCAGGAGTATTACGCTACAACTATTGGACGATTATACGTTCGGTACGCTGAATATACTATACTAGCGACTACAATGTATTATACATATGAACCTTCCTCTTGAATCACTCTAGCTACTAAAAGAAACCGTATCAAGATCCGTTGCGTAGTTTTAAGGATCTAAGCATACATACGGACGGACAGACATCGGGACGATTTTTATACTATGTAGTGATACTCGTTTGTTATGTCTGCAGTAAAGGAATGGAGCAAAAAGCCGGCGCTCGTCTCTCCGTGCGAAAATAACGTGGTCGTCTTCGAGGCAAGAGACAGTCCGGACTTTGCGGGTGCCACGTATCAACACGGTGCATATGCGTATATGCGTGTAGCTTCTCCATCCCTAAGGCAATTAACTCTGAAGACAATGGAGCTACTCCCGAATAAGTTCCCGACCCGCGTCAGGCCGGGACACCTGCCGTTAATACTCTGAATTCACCGTCGCATTGTTCTGATCCCCCGTTGTGACGTCATAATCCGCTTCCTCCATTGTGCAGGTAATTAAACGGGTAATGCTTTGCCCAAGGCGCACCGTTGACGTGCTCCGCTGATTGGATTCCAAAGGGATGGGGGGGGGGGGGGATTTTGTTTAATTCAAAATCGGGTGAGAAACCGCTATCCCCTGAACGAAGTAGGGTCGACTTCTTGTAACTGTCGGTGTGAAATTAATACGTGATAATACATTGTCGCTAATTATTAAAAAAAAAGTTAACATGATGAACAGGCGAGTTATCTGCAGGAGATACTCACAGGTATTGCGCGGTCTATAGCCCAGCTTAGCTAGGGGACTGCGCCAGCAAAGCGAGACGAGCACTACGTTCGGGCACACTAAATAGTGATATGGGCGAGCCATAATAATAATAATAAAACATCTTTATTCACATAGACGCTTGCGCGTTCTTATGAAACGTCAAAATTTTACAAAGAAATTAACAAGTTCGTAAGTTACCACCGGTTCGGAAAGCAGTTTCTGTTGACCCCACACGTTGGCGTCGTCAAGATATTCGGCAATAGTATAATAGGCTTTAGCCATAAGTTTACTACTTACTTTACCATTGCAGACGGTACCATTCAGACGCCGTTGGAATCTGCGGTTTCGGCGGCTTCCGTGCGGCCGTTGTTGGTGGAATGTCTGAGCGGTCGCTCCATAAAACACCGAACGGTACCCATCGGCCATTGTGTTGAACCCCAACCGATATAGCCCGATCCCGTTGCTGCCGATAATGAGTGTGTCGCGTAATCTTATCCCGGTTCGGGTACCCGTGAACTTGTAAGTTACTCGTTTAGTCTTAAGGTTTTGTTAATAGCCTATTAAGTTTCCGAATATGAAATTTTAGAGTAAATGTTATATGTATTTTGAATGTAAAACTGTGAAGCCTGGTGTCTGAAATACCTAAATGAAATAATCAGCTGTCAAATGGCTTTTCAAATGTCATTTAAGTTGCCAAAAAAATGTTTGAATTGATCATTCTAATCAATACGAAGATCATTCTGATCAATTCAGAGAGTTTAACCATCATCTTGACAACTCAAATAACATTTGAAAAGTCATTTAACAGCTGATTAGTTGATTTCTACAATGATCAGTGTTTCAGGAACCGGGAATGTCCGGTTCCGATATTGCCGCTTAAAGCTTTAGACTAATCGCTGCGTAACGATTTAGGTGTAATATCTTCTACGGTACCCCAAGCAAGTATTATGTGGGTACTTAAACATACAGAAAAATTTTGTGACTACATAGTATAAAATAAATTCCCGCTGTCTGTCTGTCCCTATGTATGCTTAGATATTTAAACTCAACGGATCTTGATGCGGTTTGTTTTACTAGATAGAGTGATTCACGAGGAAGGCTTAGATGTATAATACATTGCACCCGTGCGAAGCCGAGGCGGGCGGAAATTAATCTAGTATATGCATGTAACAATTACGGGAATTATTACTTCTGTTTCGGTTTATTATATCGCACTCGACTTGGCTTGGCGGGATAGCGTTGGATGTTTGCATAAATCGCAACCGTGCCGAGTTGTGAACGCGCTCTAGAACTTTACGACAATCGACGCGCAACCTGCGAGTTGTCACGCGATCTGACTAGGAGGAGCTGTCAACCGACTCTGGTCTGAAACCAGAACCTGACGCACCGGCTCGCTCGGATTGATGGTGCCAATGAAATTCAAATTTCGAGCAGGATAGCCTTATGATAAAAGAGATTTATTAAACCATTTAGACTTTCTTTATATTTATATATTGATGATGAGCACTTTAGAGGTGTCCAGCAAGCGGTTTATGAAGTGCTGAGTTTGTACTTGCGCCCAAGGACAGCGATGAGCATCACGGTGAAGCAAATGTGTTTTTGACCTTTAAATGTGAGTTTCAGTTAACTCGGACGAAATACACAAATGCAAATTTTACATTGATTCTCTGCGTACTTTTTCCAATCATTCCGCTACTTCCCCGGACGAGGCCCAAACATAAAACGGCAGAGGATTCTGCTTGCTCTACCACAAACTCTCTATCAGTTCTAGGCAGAGGTATAACGGACATGAAACTACTACTTTATAAACATTGTGAAAAGTTGCCAAGCGAGCAGACGGTTCACCTGATGTTAAGTGAATACCGCCGCCCATGGACATCCGCTACAACCGAGGGTTGCAGATGCGTTGACAACCTTTTGAAAATTGGGCTCCGGCTACCTCACTCACCAGACGAAACGCGAAAGTATTATACTTCCACTTAATCTTATATATATATATAATCGGAATCTCGGAAACGGTTCCAGCGATTTACATGAAATTTAGTATGTGCATAGATTCGGGGGCGAAAAATCGATATAGCTAAGTTTCATTTTTAGAAAATGTCCTTTTATCCCTGTTTTCAGGGAATGAAAAATATAATTTGAATATGACGGTAAATTTCGCCGCAAGAGAAAATGTCATAATAGCTCGATCGGTAATCGGGCGGCCCCTAAAAAGACGGCCGTGGTTCGCGTCACGATCATTTACACATTTATTTTTTTACTTTTTTTCGATTCCAGATCATTGCTTTCTTTATTTTTAATTTTTTGTCGATTTGTTACTTTGTTATTTTTTCCCTTTTTTTTAAAGTTCTATCCTTTGTGAAAAATATCAGTTCATATTTTCTTATTATTACGTCGGTAAGATCGAAAGTTATTATGCATATTTCATTACGCAGTAATTTGTATATAAATGTAATTTCCAAAATACACGATTTACCAAAAAAAAAAACAAACCGAGCAAAGCTCGGTCCTCCGGGTACTAATCATTTTTTGTCAAAAAATGTCGTAGCTACTACCGTATAACGAACATAAGCTATATATTTCGATAACGCGAGTGGCGCAGCTGCTTAGCAATAGACATAGACGTAGACGCCGCGGGTCTAGAGTCCAATCTCACTCCGGGCAAGTATTTATGCGGCCGATCATGGCCGCATATAACACAAGTAATTGTCCCGGATCTGGTTTTATCTGGATCTGTTGCAGATGCATTGCCAACTATTATTAAAGTGGGCCCTCGTTATCTCACACAAGATGAAACACAGAAGTATAACACTTCCACTTAACGCCGCTTTTCTGTGAGGTCGTGGTACTGGGTCGGAGCTGCCGGCAAAGACTGTAACGTGGCCCTACTAAAGTTATAAAATAATGTAAATTATTACGAAAGTTATATAATAACATAAATTACCTTCTGTCCTGTATCACCCTTAGGTAAAGATTTTTTTAAAATAAATTAAAGGAAACATTTACCAGATCGACCGGTTCGATATCATTTGCAAATGAATCACAATTGCCATTCGATAACTTCTCGCGTCTCCTTAAAGGTCGCTGCTTACTCGTATTTATCGTAATTGAATATGCAAAGGTGTTCTTTATGCAGTAACATTTGTTCATAACTGGTAGCAGTACTGCTTGGCTATGTAGCAGGGGTGGTCAACATTTTGTTGTCAATATTTTAGGAAGCTATTCTCACTAATAATACGCAGTAGTGTTTTTCATTTTACTATGCTTGAATACATACTTCGCTAATCGACCCAGTTCATGACAGTGGGCAAAATATGGAAAGTGTATGATTATAGAGTCTATTTCGCAAACCTTCATATTGTGCAACAGCTGTGGTAGACCAACGCCGTCACTACTGAAGAAACACAATAGCCTCACGGAAGAGGGGCGCAAAGTGGAAACTTAATTTGTAAGTAGATTTTTCTCTACCAATTGCTCCTTTGCGCTGGGTTGGGTTTGCGCTAAAGGCGGTGGTAATGCCACCAGAAGCGAGGAAACCAGTTTGTTTGTCACTGTCTTTTCTAAATAAAAATACCTCAAGCTTGACCACCCCTGCAATACGGCGTAGATTAACGGCGGGCCAAATCAATTTGTCTGCTTAACGGAATGGATGTGTAGAAAGCGAACGGCGGCTTACAATGCCCTGAAATATAGAGTAATTATGCGTAGCATGCGATCCCGATAGATAGGTTGGGCGAGCCGCAATTACGCGGCGACATCGACGCAAGTCGGGGGGCAAACTCTAGTTGAAATATCGCTTTCACCGTTAACAGTATAGACAGGTGCTCTCTCCCGTTATCTCTATGCAATTCGGACGCTGTTTCGACGCTGTATTGTTTCAAGTGTATCATTGGTGAACCAAGTTCAAAAGTAAATGAATTTACTTGTGAACTCTATGCTTTTAATGTGTTTTGTTTACATTAAACGTATAGAGGTCATGTATGTTAAAGTAAGATTGATTGTTGATATTCTGCTTCGGAACGTGCCAAGACCTATCTGATCTTTATATGTACTAGTGGTCGCCCTGTGATCGTAATACGACCATAATTAATTTTACATGGTAGTCTGTATTTTTTTTATTGATTTGGTGTATTTTTTGCGCATAATTAAAAAAAAATTAGCATTCTCCTCTCCGTCCCTATATATGATAATTGGCTGAAGGCGTAACATTCAGACAGAAAGACAAATATACATAAAATATGTATATAAATTATGGCCTATGTCTTATTCTGATGTATAAGCTATATTATTTTAAAATTTCATTAAAATCTATTCAGTAGTATTTGCGTGAAAGAGTAACAAACATCCATCCATACGTACAAACTTTCGCCTTTATTAGTAAGGATTAGTAAAGAAGTAAGGATGTGTGGAAAAGAATTTCAATGCAACTTCAAAATTTCACGACCTCACAGAAGACCGGCGTAAAGTGGAAGTATAATACTTTCGCGTTTCGTCTGGTGAGTGAGGTGGCTGGAGCCCAATTTTAAAAAGGTTGTCAACGCATCTGGTACCCTCGGCTGTAGCAGATGTCCATGGGCGGCGGTATTCACTTAACATCACGTGAACCGGCTGCTCGCTTGGCAACTTTTCACATTAAAAAAAAATCACAATTCGGTCCATTACAAAACGTTTTTTTA